GAAATGAGCAGGCTGATAGACTTGCAGGTAAGGCTACGGCGAAAGCCGGACAATCCATGGACCAGGCTGATATACTGAATGCTCTGAGAGAGTTAAGACGTTTGCGTGAACCAACTGAGAACTGTGAATCCGCTACCATGGTAAGACTGCATAAACAACCTGTAAAACGAGGTGTCGCCAAACAAAAACACTACGCGGGTAGCCAAAGAAGAAGAATAAATCAACACAGAACTCCTATCGTTAGCAACCACACGCTGTATGATTTACTGAGGAGGGGATCCAAGCACTAATGGACTGAATGGTTCGACGTGAAATGAGGATAATCTGTCCACTAACTAACTGACTTGGGTTAATTAATTTCTCGGTATCCTCTTAATTGTAGCGCCCCGATTTTTGAGCACTAACCAGACAAATAGTCAGAACACTACCCACAATGAGACTGATGGAGATGCCGGATAGTATAACATGGCTTAGTAATGTACAGTTAGGCACTCACAAATGCAGAAGAAAGGGTAGTGAGGAAGAGACACATCAGACAACAGAACATCAAGACAGTTATCACACCTGGGATCGAACATAAATATACAATGGATAACACAGAAATCATAGGAAATAGTTACCACAACTGTATCGAACATGAAGATATAGAAACAACATAAACATCAACGGATAAAGTTAACACAACAGGATTGAATAGAAAGATATAACAACATAAACATAAAAGGATACAGTAACTATAACTGGGAGGGGGGGGAGGGGGTGTGAACAGTTAGACAACAAAAAAAAACAATAAAACATCAATGGATACAGTTACCATAACAGAGGTTAAACTTAAATATACGTGAGATAGCGTATAAACCAAAGGCAATAGTTAAAACAACGGAGAACGACCCTGTCGCCTCCAAACCATCCTTTTCCTTTACGAGCTTCAATTACTTCCTCTCTATTACTGATAATAATGAGAAAGGTGCCCGCTCTGTCTAAATCAACCATACACGTTTCCACCCTTTATACACACACAACTGAGACGGAATTTGTTATCAAGTTCATTCATAATCAACACTTCCTCTGGTCCACCATTAACCTTAATCGCTATTCCCATGTCATTATGGCGCGGTATGGAAATCACGTACCGTCAAAGGAGACACAGGGAAAATAATGTGGCTTCGGCGGCCCTACGACATAAGGTTTGCAGGCTACCAAGTCGGCTAATCATAATGTACTCTCGTGGGCATCCAAACAAAGTCGTTCATTATCTGAAAGACAGGCTGTACTTACGAAGCTTCTCAAGCGGCTTTCAGTGCCGATGCTGATCTACGTGTGGTACACCAACTGCTTTGTTTTCTTCGATGAACTGAGTTCTGGAACCCATATCACAGCAGTTAAGACATCTCCATAAGCGCCCCGTCCCTATTTTCAGCAGTCAAGGCGGAGATCCCGCTACTGGCATCACTGGAAGTGGAACTCGTGTTGGCTCCTGAAGATGGGGACAGAGCGCTTATGGTAATGTCCTGAGTTCTGTGATGTTGAGTTCTCAACTCACTATCTAAAGCGGCATACAGCTGGGCTGTTCTATACAGCACGCCACTATAAGCGGACGTTGATTTCCTGCTGGACCTCTCTATATTCTAATTTGACCAAAAAAACATTCCACTTGTATGCGCGATTAGTTTTAAAAAGCTGTCTCTTCGGCACATTTCCTTAAAAATAAATCTGCTTTTCTTTTTTTTTAGCTCTTTGCGCATTCTTTGTTAAACTGGATCTGGGAATATTCTAAGTTATTTCACAGTTTTTGTTTACCAGCTGAAAAGTGTATACGACATGTAACTAGAGTGTCCTTACACTGGAACCCACGAGATCATTCGAGTAAAGCATCCCCTCCCCCCCCCCCACACACACACACACACACACACACACACACAAACACACACGCGTGCGGAAAAGAGAATGAGCTTAAATCGACTGAGGACAAGAGGTGGGCTGCACGCGATGGTAAAACATGATGACTTGGCGCAGGTTAGCTGAGGGACTATGCTCTATAAGGGATCAAGAAGAAGAAGAAGAAGAAGAAGAAGAAGAATGAAGAAGAAGAAAGAAGAAGAAGAAGAAGAAGAAGAAGAAGAAGAAAGAAGAAGAGAAGAAGAAGAAGAAGAAGAAGAAGAAGAAGAAGAAGAAGAAGAGAAGAAGAAGAAGAAGAAGAAGAAAGAAAGAACAGAAAGGAAAGAAGACAGACGAGAAGGAGGAGGAAGAAAGAAAAAAGAAAGAAAGAAAGAAAAAGAAAGAAAAGAAAAAGAAAAGAAAGAAGAAAGAAAGGAAGAAAAGAAAGAAAGAAGAAAAAAGAAAGAAAGAAAGAGAAGAAAGAAAGAAAGAAGAAAGAAAGAAAGAAAGAAAGAAAGAAAGAAAGAAAGAAAGAAAGAAAGAAAGAAAGAAGGAAAACTAAAATTACAATACCCATACGTTAAAGCAATAACTATACACTAACGTTGGGACGAGATGTGCAATCCAGTGGAAACTAAAAAACAATGCTAGAGAGCTCACAATTATTTGCCGTTTATACGTGGAATCATTTATATTTATACAGAATCTTCTTCCAGGCAGGAGTTTACTCCCACGTGACTGAATGGTGTAATCCTCCTTGCCTGTCTCCAAAACGTGATGTTTAATATGGTTAGGCACGTCTGCGTCATACCAGACGATACTCTCGCACTGTGCAATAGGAAAATACATAAAGCTGCCTGGTTAGTGTGTCTGCCTGTCGAGACAGAGATTCCGGTTCAATCCCAGAAGTGGCAAGAACTGTTTCCCACTATTAGGTCTCTGTGATGGACCCAGCCTCATTAACCTACACTAGGTACGGAACTAAAATAATACTTCGGTATACATACAACCCTGTGAGTCCCAGGGAACGCATCATGCGCTAATTTGCTAAAACCGCGCGGCCTAATCAACGCGTGACAAGTAAACGTTTCTAATCTACCACTGACTGGTTATCAAAAAACGCAGACCGCTCAATTTCAACTTCCTTTCGAGTTCTTTGTATCTGATATCAGGCGTTCTCATTTAGAAACGTGGTTTGAAAGCCGAAAATATTGTTTATTTGCCATATTTTCCGAGTTACTGTTTGTTTGTTTGAAAACACTTTGGCCGCCAAGCAGTATTCTACATGCATGCCAAAACGATTTACGGCTTTAGAAGCCTCAAATTTAAATAAAGTACGTGTTTTGCGAATGCGACGTGTTTCAGTCATTTATAGAGTTAAACTTTGATGAGGGATATGTCTAATGTGTACCTCAGAGCGATAGCAAAGTCAGCTGGCACAAATAGAATAAACAGTGAAAAGATGATTTTTGTCAGTGTCAGTTAGTTCTAGTTCTATTCTCCTTAAGAAAAAGAATATGGGCTTTTGAGCTGAAATGCTTTAGAAAGATTCTCAGAATATCTTTGACCAAAAAGAGGATAAATACTGACATCTTAAAAGATCTGAACATCAAGGAAGACTGGCTGATAAACAGTATCCTGTTTCAGAAGCTAAAATATTTTGGACATATAAAGCGCCACAACTGATTGGAAAATAATTATAGCAGAAGGCATAGTACCAAGAAGGAGGGGCAGGGGCCGACCAACACGAAGATGGGCACAAGATATAAGTGACCCCTTGAGAATGAAAGAGCATGAAGCAGGAAAGCTGGCGAGAGACCGAGTTTCGTTCAGGCAGACCGTGGTGAGAAGGACGTTTTGCAAAGAACCTGCTACATGATGATGAGCTATAAAATTGCAGGCAAACTGAGTGTTATATAAACACTTATTGTTTTGGAAGTCAGTTTTGTTTACCAAATAATGGTGCTCTGTTACGATGCTTCAAAAGATTCTTTGGAACAAAATCTAATGCATAGATTGAGTTTATATTTCACTTATACATTACTAAGTGGTTCATATTCATTTGTGATCCATTTTGGATATATTGTAACCATTTTTCATTGAGTGCCATGGTGGTAAGTGGAAATTTTTTTGAATTTCATTTTACTAAATCTCGTAAACATACCATCTGTTTATTTACTAATATTTAATTACTAACGCAATTATTTCTTGTAGCTGTATTTTATAATTATTCCTCAACAATTATTGGTCACTTTAAAGTATAATATGTGTATGTTGCGCGGCAACTGAATTAGTATGGTCTGTTTTAATGTGTTACACTTGTGAAATTAAAAAAAAAAAATTGCATTACCACCCCTTGGGCCTCTGATGCTAAACTCCTTGGGACTCAAAGAGTTAACTGTTCCTGATCCATGGACATACACCAAACAGAATACATCTGTCATCCTTTTTTTGGGATGCAATTTTTCGTCATTTGAAGCCCTACTCTGGCTCTTGCCAGGGGCCGCAATACAGCCCGGCCATAAATATGGTCTAATGGCTGAACACGGTTTCTGGGACCTCTCCCAGGGTGATCCTCATCCACATGGTGGCACTTTGTGTCATCGGGTGTTTATCGCATGTGTGATGTCCTGATGGGGTAAAAGAAGAAGACCAAACAGAACGTGTACGAAACGAAATTTCTCCACAAGAAATCAAGGGAGATTAATCCGTTACCATGCGGATGGTTAGTTTTTAAGAAATGAATTTTCAAAGTTGATAGTGGTCAGGGGTTTTCTCAGACATTCTATAAACTATCGGCATTTTTTAAATAGCGAATCGGTTGAAGTAAAGTGTATGTATACTTATGAGGTCAGTGGGTTATATTAGTTTTGTTGCAGCACTTAATAATTTTCTAGGCGGTTTTGGGTCTATAACAAATATGAGTTCAGTATCATATGCTCGATATATATATTAATATACCAATATGTCAATTTATATTACGCTATTTAAAGGACTAAAAATAATATACATAAAAACGTCAGCTTCTCATTATAACAAAGTCAATGACCAGATGCCAAAGATTATCATAATCTAAAACGGACAGGCTAATCTTGAAGGTAAATCAAGAAACGTTAACTTACATCTGAATCGGGTCCATTGTCGGCGCCTGGGCAGGCGAAGCAGACGAATTCATGGCATCTTTTGTGAACGACAAGACTGCACACTGTGGAAGTATACAAATTTATAAACATAACTTCACTGTTTAGAATATTAATAATAATATTATTATCTCGTTAGAACGAACTACACCAAATTCTCCTGTGCTAGGTGCCGGTTTCGAGAAAATCGCATTTGAACGTGGAGATCAAATAACAATTGTGCAGTTGTGTAAAGAAAAAAAAAATTACTTAATTTTGATCTCTTTGACACAGGAACTTAGACATGTGCCTTTCATCATCATCAGTTCTCGTTATGCCTAGTGGCACATGAGGCTTCAGAGAGGACTTTCCATGCTTTCCTGTCCTGTGCAATCTTCAGTGCAGTTTTCCATAAAGACATGTGCCTTTGTTATATTGTAAAGGAAAAACAGTAGCCCTGAAAATGCATTCAGAGAAGAAAATCTTTAAAATTACCCTTTTGTAACTTTGGCGTAGTGCCAACGAATTACACCTTTTGCTCGACTTAGGACCTATGTAGCTGACGTCTATCCGCACTTCAAACGAATGCAAAACAATAATAATAAATAAACTACCAATTAAAAACAGTAACTCTTCTTCTTCTTTTTCTTCATCTTCTTCTTCTTCTTCGTCTTCTTCACTGTTTACCGTCTGTAAGCTACGGTGGGAAGTCCTGGTTCTTCGTCCATTTGGACTTGGCTTTGTGCCAGGGCCTGAGTTTGCGTGTACATCCGTTTTACTGGCTTATGTATGTAGGAGGAAACATCAGAAAAGAAAGAGCAAGAAGAACACAGCTTACAACAGGATGGGGAATGAGCTGGCTGACATTGAGGAAAGAAGCATTAAGCACAGAGACGGCGCAAATACTAAAACTATAGCCACGAAAGTGGCGCAAAAAAACAAGACCACAAATATAGCCGGTGACTGTCGCTAGCTTCAGCTAGCTAGTAGCAAGGTTGAACGTTTTGATTTTTTCTTAAAAGAAATTGGAACTGGAACTGCTCCTTGTCGCTCGGGCAGACGCACTCCGACTTCGAAGGAAGCTCGCAATTAGTCGACTCCTACAAAATGCTGTTCGGGAAGGCAGTGAGTCTATTCTCATTTCCCTCCACAAAATGGCGCCGGACCCAGACGGGAAAAAGTATTTAAAGATAGATCATTTCAATAGTGAGGTCAAAAATTTCTCGCAAGTGATGCTTAGAGCTCAGCTGGGTCTAGACATCAGAGTCATGGACTGAATTTTTGTTTTATGTACAACTGTTAAAGCTCGTTGGCATTAAAGTCATCATATCATAATGTAGCAGGTCCTTTGCAGAACGTCGCTCTCATCACGGTTTTCCTGAAGGAAACTCGGTCTCTCGCCAGCTCTCCCGCCTCATGTACTTTCATACACAAGGAATCACTTATATCCTGTGCCCATCTTTGTGTCAGTCGGTCCCTGCGCCTCCTTCCTAGTACCATGCCTCCTGCTATAATTTTTTCCAATCTAATTAAAGTAGTACTGGAAAATATAAACTTGAATTACGACCAGTTCCACTTACGACCAGTTCTACTTACGACCTGTTAGTCGTAAAAGAATTCGGGCGCAAGTCGAGGAGACCATTATATGTTTTGTACGCATGTGCGTACGTATATGCACACCACACCGCAATTGTGGACATAAACACTGACAAGCTTGCAATGACTTTGTAGCGCAGATTCATTAAAACAGTGAGTTGCATATCCTACATTGGAGCTCGCAGCTAACGTCAACATATGTTCAAATATAGGCTCTGTGGCTAAGTCGATGCGAACGCTTCGCAATGCCGGGATGCCGGGTTTGATCCCAGCTGCAGGCCATGCGCCTTGCGTTGGTTTCGACAGTGGTATCAAGAAAGCCGACCGTCCAGAAGAAATTGTAAACTACTGGACGTAAATTTTCCTAGAAAAGCCACACAACAGCCAGGGGCTGTTAGGGATGGTTCTGCAACGTCCTGTAAAGAATACGCAGCTAACCTATGTTCAAAACAATGTTTACACCTTCAAACTTCAACATTTGCTGCTCTTTTGAGTTTTCATGTGGAATTTTATGTTACGTAGTTTGCTACTGTTTACTAAACGGTCGATGCACATACACTTGTCAAAATCAACCCTAACCAGTCCATCTCCAAACTGCCTTCAGCCGAATCGAAGCCTGGATATAAGAGTTACGAAAATGTGTCCATAATCCATAGACCCCTATCCTGGTTATATACCGCCTGTGATGAAAGCCAAATCAATTTATGTTAACAATACTGGCACTTATTGTCATTCGGAGACAAGAGAACAAGTGTTTCTCTTTAGTTTGCTCCCTTCTTTTAAATTGTATGGAAGAGCCTCAATGTAAGGTTTCCTGGTGTCAGCTCAATTTCCTGTCTCTCTACCCCTTCCTTCACTACTCTCACAGGCTCTTAAGTGTCTCTGTGTGTCAGCGCGCGCGTGAGTACCTTGCTCAGTGACACATGTGGTGTGTGAGCGAGAGTGCCTGCGTATGTGAGTACCTTGTTCAGTGACACATGTGGTGTGTGAGCGAGGGTGCCTGCGTATGTGAGAACCTTGCTCAGTGACACATGAGGTGTGTGAGCGAGAGTGCCTGCGTATGTGAGTACCTTGCTCAGTGACACATGTGGTGTGTGAGCGAGAGTGCCTGCGTATGTGAGTACCTTGCTCAGTGACACATGTGGTGTGTGAGCGAGGGTGCCTGCGTATGTGAGTACCTTGCTCGGTGACACCTGTGGTGTGTGAGCGAGGGTGCCTGCGTATGTGAGTACCTTGCTCAGTGACACCTGTGGTGTGTGAGCGAAGGTGCCTGCGTATGTGAGTACCTTGCTCAGTGACACATGTGGTGAGTGAGCGAGGGTGCCTGCGTACGTGAGTACCTTGCTCAGTGACACATGTGGTGTGTGAGCGAGGGTGCCTGCGTATGTGAGAACCTTGCTCAGTGACACATGTGGTGTGTGAGCGAGGGGGCCTGTGTATGTGAGTACCTTGCTCAGTGACACTTGTGGTGTGTGAGCGAGAGTGCCTGCGTATGTGAGTACCTTGCTCAGTGACACATGTGGTGTGTGAGCGAGGGGGCCTGCGTATGTGAGTACCTTGCTCAGTGACACATGTGGTGTGTGAGCGAGAGTGCCTGCGTATGTGAGTACCTTGCTCAGTGACACATGTGGTGTGTGAGCGAGGTGCCTGCGTATGTGAGTACCTTGCTCAATGACACATGTGGTGTGTGAGCGAGAGTGCCTGCGTATGTGAGTACCTTGCTCAGTGACACATGTGGTGTGTGAGCGAGGGTGCCTGCGTATGTGAATACCTTGCTCGGTGACACATGTGGTGTGTGAGCGAGGGGGCCTGCGTATGTGAGTACCTTGTTCAGTGACACATGTGGTGTGTGAGCGAGGGTGTCTGCGTATGTGAGTACCTTGTTCAGTGACACATGTGGTGTGTGTGAGAGGGTGCCTGCGTATGTGAGTACCTTGCTCAGTGACACATGTGGTGTGTGAGCGAGGGTGCCCGCGTATGTGAGTACCTTGCTCGGTGACACATGAGGTGTGTGAGCGAGGGTGCCTGCGTATGTGAGTGCCTTGCTCAGTGACACGTGAATCAGTGCCTACCTTCTCCTTTTACTTCAGTGACGCAAGAGAGAGAATGTGTGTGTGAGAAAGAGTGTGTGTGTGAGAGTGTACACGTGTGTGTGTGTGTGAGTGTGTGCGTATGAAAGAAAGAAAGAAAGAGAGAGAGAGAGAGAGAGAGAGAGAGAAAGGGAGAAACAGCCAGAGCAAGACAGAGAGCGTTCAATTTATTTTTATTTTTTTTAAATAATTTATCCTCATTAAAACACTTGAATATACTTCACCATCTATTTTCATCAACATTCTTACAAAAAAATTTGATTCTATGCTTATCATTATTTAAAATTAGAGACGTACTTGGGAAGTTGGGGGAGGCGTGATGTATGTGTGTGTGAGTGTGTGTGTGTGTGTGTGTGTGTGTGAGTGTGTTTGGGTGAGTGCGCGCACGCGTGCGTGCGTGCGCTTTAGTGCGACTAAGTGAGCAAAAACACCCACACGCACAGAGAGAGAGAGAGAGAGAGAGAGAAGAGAGAGAGAAGAGAGAGAGAAGAGAGAGAGAGAGAGAGAGAGAGAGAGAGAGAGAGAGAGAGAGAGAGAGAGAGAGAGAGAGAGAGACTTATCCGTCAACACTGCCAGTATGTGGTTCTTGGGCATCTCCGTAATTCAGCTTCAATCTGCTCTTGTCTTTTACCAACAGACTACTATTGGATTTCACAGATTAACAACGCCGCTGTCAGACATGGCTATCAATACATCTGTGGCACAGCGTGCACTCTACTGTAACATTCTTCTACACTGATTCCAATAAAATACAGTTATGGCATCTAGTCTTACACTTTATACAGCCGTTATATGTGCTATTAAATTACATGAATGCACTACAATTGCTAGCTCTCCATGGCAGACGATACATACTGCTGTTGCTTCTTCTTCCTCTTTTTTATCATCTTCTTCATCTTCTTCTTTTTTCCCCTTCCCATTCTCCTGCTTCTTCTTTTGTCGTTCTTTTTCTTTTTTTCATCAACATTCTTACAAAAAATTTGATTCTATGCTTATCATTATTTAAAATTAGAGACGTACTTGGGAAGTTGGGGGAGGCGTGATGTATGTGTGTGTGAGTGTGTGTGTGTGTGTGAGTGTGTTTGGGTGAGTGCGCGCACGCGTGCGTGCGTGCGCTTTAGTGCGACTAAGTGAGCAAAAACACCCACACGCACAGAGAGAGAGAGAGAGAGAGAGAGAGAGAAGAGAGAGAGAAGAGAGAGAAGAGAGAGAGAGAGAGAGAGAGAGAGAGAGAGAGAGAGAGAGAGAGAGAGAGACTTATCCGTCAACACTGCCAGTATGTGGTTCTTGGGCATCTCCGTAATTCAGCTTCAATCTGCTCTTGTCTTTTACCAACAGACTACTATTGGATTTCACAGATTAACAACGCCGCTGTCAGACATGGCTATCAATACATCTGT